TTGGGAGGAGGTGATAAGACAGGATTTAGGACTTCTCGACCTGACTGAGGATATGGCCCTAGATAGGAACCTTTGGAGAACTAGGATTAGAGTAGCTGGATAGGAGCTCGGTGTTGTAGAGGTTGTTTTGTAGTGTGTTGTATTTGTTGGGAATCTTTTGCTATTGTTTGTACTTGTTGCTTGTACTTGGTGCCTTATCTGTGCTATACTGTGTTCTCTTCCATATTTTTGTGCAGGTGGAGCCGGGGGTCTCTTGGAAACAGCCTCCCTACTTCCGAGTAGGGGCAAGGTCTGCGTACACACACCCTCCCCAGACCCTACTGTTGTGGGATTCAACTGGGTTGTTGTTGTTGTTGTAGTCAACTCTTCATAAAAATGAAGAAAAGTCAAAATGGGAAGTTTATTTCCGGACGGAGGGAATAATAATTAATGAGATAATATTAGGGTGCTAACATCTGTTTGTGCACCTAAATTGCTTATAGTAATCTCTCTTATCTCTTGGTATATGTTTTTTTACTTGTTGAATTTAGTTTTTATGTATTTTGTCAATGTTGCCTATTGTTTAGTATGCCTCACATTTCAGGTAATAGATGCATGTGCCAAAGGAAATTTGGGTCGTTTCATAAACCATAGTTGCGATCCAAATTGCCGTACTGAGAAGGTGAATGAACCTGTTACTATATAAATTGCATTATTAAAAATATTTCACATCATATACTATGGGAACACTTTTGATCTATCTAAAATGTTAATGAGAAGTTGCTTGTTCAATTTGTTTGCTTACAATTATGTTTTCAAAGGAAAACAAGTGTCTTGAGACAAAACATTAAACCTATTTTATAAGGGAGTGTTCTTTAATGGGGATAGAAAAAAGGAAATATAAAAAGAGGAATGGGTTATGGAATCATCTATTTATCTGTGAACAAGCCTACAATCCTTTGTAGAAGGAATCATGTTATTAAATTCCAAGCGTTCATGATAATCAGTCTTCCACTTTAATGAAAATTATCATGGGGCGGTGATGGTTGGGATGATATACTAAGAATTTAATGCTGTTATGTTAAACATTCTCAAATATTTTGGCCATTGTAATTTACCTATCTTTTATCTTCTTGCACAGTGGATTGTAAATGGAGAAGTTTGTGTTGGGATTTTTGCATTAAGGGACATTAAGAAGGTACAACTATACAATAACCTATGTTATTGTACCTGATTAATTTTCACATGAATGTGATGTCACTTTGTTCAATATTGGCATTGAGAGCATATTAACTTCATTATTTATTTACAGAGTATTATTAACTTGGACCAAGCTAAATCCTTGTCTACAATGTGTTGTAGCTTGTTAGTTCACTTGTATGTGTTGTTACTTTGTAGTTTCTTACCACAGCACATTGTTGACCTGAATTCTTTGGGCCTAATGAACTCTCTTTAAGGAAACATCTGATTTCTTGGATTTGGCAAGTTTTCATGCTGGTCAGAATCATCATCTAATATTTAACGAGTTTGTGTGCTGAAGACTTCTTTGTTCAAGACTTCTTTTTTTGACAAACTTTCAATATCATTAGTAATCTTTCAAAACCTTACACCCATAATCCGATCAATAAAGCAGACATAAAAGCAGAAGTCACTACAATTGCTCACTGATATTCAACAGGACATTAACTCTTTTGTAGGAGTTTTACAATAAACAAGAGTAAATCACACAAACTAAAAAACATAAAACTAGCACCTAGACTAGTAGAAAACAAAACCTCACACCTAGATGAGAAGACAACATCGGAAATCAGCAACTCTTCTTTATTGGACAATAATGGCAGAAGAGCATACATTTTGTCCAAGATGATAGAGATGTAGATCTTTTTCTCTGTATAGGAAGTGATGAGGGAACCACCACAACATCATCCTACTAGTTTCCTCAAAAGTGGGAGAAGATGAAGAAGAGCGGTGACAACGGGTTTTGAAGAGAATTTTACGCTTTGTTTGGATGGGTAGAGAAACCAGAAAGATAGAACATGAGAACAAAGTAAATGAAGAGAAAAGTGTATTCTCTGTTATTGTTTGGATGGATATAAAATAAAGAGAACAACAACAATAACCCAGTTAGATCTCACAAAGTAGGGTCTGGGGAGGGTGTGTGTACGCAGACCTTGCCCCTACCCAAACGTAGAGAGGTTGTTTCCATGAGACCCCCGACTTAAGCTAGTACATAAAAGATCACTCAGTAGTTACATAGAGGGGGAAAGCACATATACAATGCAAAACTAAATTTAATAAAGTTACAAAACGAGAGTATTGCAAGTTAATAGCAAATAGCACCAAGCATTAAAGGCCTACAAGGCACACAACAACACCCTCTAGCTCAAGGCACCTACCCAGCCACTCTAATCGTATCTCTCCAAACACTCGTATCTAAGGCCATATCCTCAATAAGGGAAAGAAATCCGAAGTGCTATCTAATCACCTCCTCACTCTTTCTAGGTCTACCTCTTCCCCTACTTCCCTCTACCAACGTGAGTCTCTCGCATCTCCGCACTGGAGCGTCAACATCATGCCGTCTCACATGAACGAACCACCTCAATCTAGCTTCCCGAAGCTTATCTTCCACTGGCGCCATGCCTAACTGACCTTGAATAACCTCTTTCGGAATTCTATCCAGCTTGGTCTGCCCACACATCCACCGCAACATCCACATCTCCGCCCTATGCAGACAACACACGTGACTCTTCTTAACCACCCAACACTCCGCCCCATAGAGCATACTTGGTCTAACTACACACCGGTAGAACTTACGTTTCATCCTGGGTGAAATCTTCTTATCGCACAACACTCCTGATGCCAACCTCCACTTAGCCCAAGCTGCTCCAACACGGTGCACAACATCCCCGTCTACCTCCCCATCCACCTTAATGACCGAGCCAAGATACCGAAACTTGTCCACTTTGGGCACAAGGTGAGAGTCAATCGTCACTTTCACCCTTGAATCCGTCATTCGGCCATTGAAACAACATTCCATGTTTCTAGTCTTGGTTCTACTGAGTCTGAATCCTTTGGTCTCCAGGGAAAGGCGCCAAAGTTCTAACTTACCATTTAGTCCCTCGTGTGTGTCGTCGATAAGCACAATATCATCCGCAAAAAGCATGCAGCACGGGACTTCTTCTTGGACTCATCCCGTCGGGACATCCATCACCAAGGCGAACAAGAAAGGGCAAAGGGCAGACTCCTTGTGCAACCCCACCCTTATAGAAAAAGGGTTAGAGTCGCCTCCAACAGTCTTTACCCTCGTCCCTGCCCCGTTGTACATGTCCTTGATCGCGCGGGTGTAAGCAATCAGAACTCCTCAATACTCAAGACACCTCCACAAGATCTCCCTTGGCACCCTATCGTACGCCTTCTCAAGGTCAATAAATACCATATGAAGATCCTTCTTCCTAGCCATTTACTCTTCCATCAACCTCCACACGAGGTGAATGGCCTCTGTCGTCGATCTACCGGGCATGAAACCAAACTGGTTCTCGGAAACGCACACCTCTTTCTGCAGCCTATACTCGATGACACGCTCCCAACCAAACCTTCATAGTGTGGCTAAGCAGTTTGATGCCTCTGTAATTCTCGCAGCTCTGAATGTCGCTCTTGCCCTTAAATAGAGGGACCAACACGCTCTCCCTCCACTCGTCCGGCATCCTAGCCGTCCGGAAGATAACATTGAAAAGTCTAGTTAACCATACCAACCCACCACGTCCCGCATGCTTCCAAAACTCCATTAGGATCTCATTGGTTCCAAAGCTCTCCCACCATGCATCCCTCAAAAATCCCGAGCAACCTCTTCCTGCCTAATGCATCGGAAACACCCAAGTCTTGAAGCGCCTCAGACTTCCCCAACTCTCCTAGTTTGAGCCTGTGGTCCCCTCCAGCATTTAAGAGGCCACAAAAATACTCCCCCAGTCCCCCCAGCACTTCGCCACCTCTGTAGTCGCAACCAACACTCTACCGTCGCTGCCCTTCACGGAGTTCACGCATCTCACGTGGTCCTGATCTCGTGCCTTCCTCCTCCATTCCATTTTCTTCTCACATGTGGAGAGAAAAATTTTCATGTGGACCTCGGCGCCATTTTCTCCTCTCTTCCTTTTCTTTCTCATCCAAACAAGTGAAAATGTTTGGACTCCGTGTTTTCTCTTCTCATGTTTTAGTTCTCCCTATTTTCTCTTCATTCTAACACAAGCTTAGGGTTTTTCAGGATTGAGAATTAAATACAAATTCCTCCCTTAATTTGTTTAAGACTTCAATCAAATGCGGTTTATGACTTCAATCAAAGCACTCTTGCTATGTTTGTGAAGAAAGAAATTATTTTCTAATGAACAATGACTTTTCAATCATTTAGAATTTTAACCCATGCCCTATGAAGCCCGGACACAGGTGTAGGTGTGGGAGAGGACATTTTGTAAAAGTATGAGACACAGGTAAGAGGGGGATGTGACAAGTTTGTGTGTGTTTTCGTGTATAGATACGAGTACGCAGTTTTTTTTATTTTAAAACATTTACTTCATAAAATATCACTCATAAAGTCATGAAGTTAAAAATCCATTCTACAAGCAGTCAGATACTTAATAAATGAGCTTTTACACTATTGTAGGAACCACTTAATTCATTGTTTGCAGAAGTTGCACTTAAAATTTATGTTACCCCTGCCTTTGAACATCTCAAGTACTTTAACATGACCCCAAAGAAGAAACTTGCTTTCTGCAGATTTTGATGTAACCCATACACTTGCATCCGGGAAAGAGGATCCCTGAAGCCAAGTAAAAGAAAGAAGATTATGATAGTGTAGGGGTATCAAAATATGGACACATAACTCAACTATCTCCAGAAGTTAGGGGGTAAGTTCTGTATCAAGTAGTAGATTTTGATGTAACCCCTACACTTACATCTCTCTCTCTAAGATGTAACCCCTACTTGATGATGTAAGTTTAGGGGTTATAGAACTACTTGATGATACAAAACTCAACTTACCTAAGTAAGAGAGAGATGATGATATAACTAGGCTTTTAAAATTTGAAGAGAAAGAGGTGAGAGTCTGAGAGAGTGGTAGATTGAATATACAGAGGCTGGAAAATGAATTGAGAAATTAGATGGATAGACATTGGCTGAAGAGATAGGTATGAGCCTCCCAGAGTCAATGAATACACAACTTTTTAAGGCCTAATTTTAACACTTTAATCATTTACTTGAGTAAGTTGAGTTATTAAAAAAGGACCCTCTCTCACACACATACACACTCTCTCTCTCTTTAAATTACTCAGCGAAATCGTTGAAGGCTCCGTAGTGTGTACCAGCATTTCTCTGTATTAAAAAAAAGAAAAAAGGAGACACATCTTAGGTATGTCCCTGAAGTGTCAGACCCACTTACCTCACCTCTTTTGAAGTGTCTGTGCTTCATAGAATCATAGGGAATCATAGCTCAATCCAATGAGAACAGAGCACAGGGATAATATTTCCCAGTTTTTAAATACTCAACCTTAAGTGTTCACTGTTGGGGATTTTCTTATCAGGGTGAAGAAGTGACATTTGATTATAATTATGTACGGATCTTCGGTGCTGCTGCCAAAAAATGTGTCTGTGGTTCTTCTCATTGCCGAGGTTACATAGGTAGTGATACCTTAAATGCTGAAGTAGTCGTTCAGGATGATTCAGAAGATGAATATCCAGAGCCCGTGGTGGTTTGTGAAAACATAGATATCGATGATGAATTAAACTACGTGAAATCAGCAGCATGTTTGTTTAACCATTCAGAATTGAGAAATGTTGATGAATCTCCAGAAAAAGATATTGTAATTAATGGACAGGGTTCTGTGCACTCACAGAACACCATTGGAATTAAAAATGGCAATCCAATCTGTACAGAAAGTTTTGAGACTAACATACATTCTGCTGCTGTTGAGTGCTTGGTGACTACTGAGATGAGTGAGAACTTGCTGGATTCATCTGCATCTTCTACAAGGAGAGAGGGGACATCTTCAAGTTTGGAGGGTTCAAGAGGGATGCAGTCTTGTGATGCTAAAGGAGATGGGTTGGAGGGTGTCAACAATTTACAAACATCCCTGTGTTATCCTGTGAAGTCAAAAACTCTTAGCAAGCAATTTAAGAACATAAAATCTTGCTGTGCAAGAGGTAAGGCTGAAGCCTCGAAGCCTCCCCCTCTTGTGAAAACTCCTCAAGTTTCATCTTTAGTGAAGAAAGCTAAACCCAAGAATACAAAAACATCACTGGCAATAGATAATGGGCCTAAATTGCCAGAATTGAAATCCAAGAAACTGTCAGATGGGTCGTTAAATAGCCGTTCTGAAGCTGGTAAATGTTTTCTGCTTTTATTTGTTTCTTTTATCTTTTGCTTTAGTGGATATGCCTTTATTGTGGTACTTGTGTGATCCTTACAAAATATTTCATCATGCAGTAGAAGAAAAGCTCAATGAGTTACTAGATACTGAAGGAGGAATAAGTAAACGAAAAGTAAGTAGTTCCTCGGTTTATAGATGATTGATGGCACATTTATAATCCTCTATTGTTTTTAGCTCATTTATATATTTTTCGTAATTCTTGTGATTTCTGTATTAGAGAGAGAGAGATGTTCATAGCCTTGAGTATTTTTCTTTCGCTTTTAAGTTTTTTTATGTATCCATATTTAGGTTTTCCATAAAAGAAATTCCAATATGAAATTTTTATAATTTATTTGTCACTTGTTGTGCCAGTTTAAACTTTTTCCAGGATCAATTATTCTCCCTCTGTCCCAAAATAATGTTATACACTTAATGCAAAACGAGCAAAATTTCAAGTTTTTTGTAATTCACCTACGTCAAAAGTTCTACAAATGAAGAGGTGACAAGAATATATTATTTTATCAAATAATTCATCAAAATGCACAAATAAACAAAAGTTTCCGTGGCTTTTGAATAGTGAAGTGTAGTTCTTTTTGGAACGGAGGGAGTATATTTATTCATTTCGTTACATTTAACAGGATGCATCAAAAAGCTACCTGAAGCTTCTCCTTTTGACTGCTGCTTCAGGGGATAGTGGCAATAGTGAAACAATTCAGAGGTACTAATAAGATACGCCGTAACATTTTAACCTCAACCAGCTATGAAGTTCATACATTTGGAGTTATGATTATTATTTGTTACCTTAGATTGATGATGTTGCTTGAACTTAAATATTTTGCAGCAACCGAGAACTTTCTATGATCCTAGATGCACTCCTGAAGACAAAATCTCGGACAGTTTTAGTCGATATTATCAATAAAAATGGTAGTGTTTTTAGACTCTGTTGTGTCCAACCTTTACTTTGTTAAGTAAGGTAGATTGGTAACTGAAAAGTATAACTGTTAAATTGTGGTTGCTAGGTTTGCAGATGTTACACAACATAATGAAAAGATACAGAAGGGAATTCAATAAGATTCCAATACTCAGAAAGCTGCTTAAGGTATTATAAGTTTAAAATGTTTAAAATGTGATCACTAGCCATAACTACAACAAAAATGATCTCAATTAAATGCCACAAATGGGATCTGGGGAGGGTCAGTGTACAGATTGGCTGGCATCTACCTGACATCTACTTCAAGAGTTGAGAGGTTGTTTCCAAGAGACTTCTGGCCCAATACACAAAAGAATTCGAGTAGTAAAAACAAGTAAAGAGAAGGGGAAGAGAAGAACATGTAACCGAATTGGTTTCCAGAAATGAACATGAAACTGCCTGGCATGAAACCGAATTGGTTTCCAGAAATGTAATAAGACATCGAATCGTATTTACTATCTAGAAATACTCATTATGAGGGATTCTGTGTCCAACCCTAACGGTTGGGTTCCGTTGTCCCATTCTGAAACATCTCAATCCTGTCCTTAAAATGTCCCGTTTTGTTTGAGTCGGCAAAATTTTGTCCCCAACCCGTCTCAGATTGATTTAAAATGGAATCCACCCTCATAATGAGTATTGCTACAGTTTCAGACGTTGAAAATGTATTTTTTGAGATTTAACATTTTTTATCCACCCTCCCCCTATTTTTCTTTCCAGTTTTCTTCGCTAGCACTTTCGGCATTCTAAACAGTTCCTAGCAGGTTTCCTTATCTAAACAACTATTTCACATTCACTTCTCGACACTCCCCTCCCCCTCCCTCAAAAAAATACTGTTGGGATTATACTGGAAATGTTGTTTTATTTGGGTCATCTCACCATTTGAATTTCGTTCAGGTACTGGAATATCTAGCATTAAGAGAGATTTTAGCATGTGAACACATTATTGGGAGCCCTCATCGGCCTGGAGTGGAGAGGTTGGTGAATTATTTCATTTTTTTGTTTCCCCTCGTTTGTTTTTCCTCTTAAGTTAATGGTTTCTTTTAATTCTAGCATGCTGTTTCTGTGTTTCATCTAGCATCTGTAAATACCTATGCTGCATTGTCACTTCAAAAAAAACTGAAAAATATGTCAGACACAGGGGACATGGTGGCTGTAGGGACACCTTCAGGGTGCAACACATGTTTCTCTTATACGACTGAAGCTTCTTTAAATAATTCCAATATATATTGGACTATACTATAAAAAGCATGACCATAGATGTCTATCCTATTCTGTATCTACCATGGGTGTGTGCTCAGCAGAATCATGTTCACATTTGACATTACCTATTTTGGGAAGTTTGGGCTAGTGGTGACTTTCACTCTCAACTACCCAACCAAAATATTACCCCACAACTTGTTAAATACTCCCTTTTGTCCTATTTTTAGGGCAGTAGAGTGACACCCAAATTTAAGAAAGTGGAATCGTGTGCTTGATATTGAATCTTTGAAGTATAAATTGATTTGAGCCACATAAGTCATACCAAATATGGTATTGGACATACCAAATTAGGAAAAAAGGTAAGCGTAGTGGGAGTGAAGGAATGATCGTTATCCTCCAATAAATGACCCCTCTAACCAAATTCTCAATCTAGTTTTAAATTGTGTGCCTTTTCACATGGGAAGAAGATTTTGGCACAGGAAGAGAAAGACATATTGTGTGTGTGTGTGTGCATGTGTGTGTATGATCTGACAAAAGTGGTCCTTGAGTAAAAAAGGAATGAATATGGTGCACTAGCTTTGAGAACCGCCCACAGTACCAATGGTTTTTTAAATTATGTGCAACTTCTGCCTTCATGCTTCTTTGAAAAGTGCACATCCCCATAGTTAAAAGTGCAATCACACTGATAAACATGCATTAACTCAAGCATTAGTGTTTTCAAGTCAAGGCTTATTTTTGTTTGAACTTTGAACCACACCATGTGTGTGTGCGCGTGTAAGTGAGCTTTGCATTCAGTTCAAATACTCTGCAGTTGCCCATCATCAATCAACAGGGAAAACTTATTTTGTGAAACTTGTCTACTTTTATCAAAAGGTTATTCTATTAAGCCTACATCTTATACCACTAGGTAAGTCTCACGAATAATGAGATATTGTCCTCAAGTCATGCATCAATATTTCATCATGCATTTTTTTGTCATTTACAGTTAACCATGTGTTTGTGGTGCCCCTTAACAATCTAATGGATATTTTAACACCCTCGATCTATGTGTGTTTCTACTCAAGGACCACTATTTACAAAATCTTACACCATAATAATAAAAATACTACCATTGTTTAAACCAGATTGATCTTGTTATTGTAATGTTAATTTGAATGTGAAGACTTTTGTGGGGTTTTCTTTAGTCATAATTTGGTTTCACATAGATTTTATTTCCGTGGGCAAAAAACATACGAAATTATGGAAATGTAGAAAATAAACCAAATAGTTCTTTCAGTTCGGGCAAATTTAGGTAAAGCACATAGTTACTTTCGAATCCCTTATTTAGGTAAGCAATTAGTTACCATCCTCTTCTCTTAAATTTAAAGGTAACAATATGTGGAAACCCATTTTCCCATCACTCGTTTTGTCCTTGTCAACATTACAAATCTTTTTATTAAAAGGGTATTTCATTTTTTGGCATCTTGTAATCGATTCTAATAATTTTTACAGCTTCAGAGACTCGATATTAAGCCTGACAGAGCACATAGACAAACAGGTGATGATCTTAATGGGGAATTTTGTATGCCCTATTTATTTGATCCATCTTTCTTATTTATATTCTTTTATTTTAGATACTAAATTTTATCATATTCAAATTTTGCAGTTGTACAACATTCAATTTAAGTACTAAAATACTAAATTAAACGTTACAATGGAAGAATTGATTTTAATTTCTTTCACTATCCCTTATAAATTTGGTTTATTGTCTTGTTTTTACTCAGCTCGCTTTTTAGTAAACTGGAAATTATGCATTTGAAATTTGTTTAGAGGATAGAAATAATTTCTAACTACAAATTTTTTTCCTGAAAATGAAAGTGGAACAGAATTTCGGAACGGACCAAATACTCCTTACATCCTAAAACAAAACAGAATTTTGGGACGATCTAAATACGCCTCATGTCCCGAAATGGAAGTTCATTTTCCGGACATAAAGTGGAAGAAAAGTATTTAAAAGTGAAAAGTGTGGTTGGAATTGATATGAAGGAGAGCAATAATGACAGCCGCACGTTCCTTACGAAATAAGGAAATTGATTCTTATTTTGCAATGGGCCAAATCTGAAAGTCCATAGTTTATTTCGGGACAAAGGGAGTGAGAAAGATGGAACAAAATTATGGGACAGAGTGGGTAAATTTACTTTTTGTGTGGCTATTTGGTGAAATATGGCACATGCTGGACAAAAATGTGTGCATTATTACAAAAGAAAGTATATCATAGACATTAACCAAGACTTGGTCCAAAACTGATTATGTCGTGTGGATGAACTAATAGTCTCTAGGTTTTCTGCTAAAATTTTCATATTTAGTATTTTTATACGTACCAAATGCCCAAACCAATTTCTAATGCCACCAGACTGAACTTATACTGGTGGCAGTAGTTGACAAGTGTTTTCTTTTTTCAGGTCCATCATATCGCAAGAAGCTTTAGAGATAGGTGGATACCTAGACTACCCAGAAAAAGTTGTTTCATGGACAGGGATGAGGGATGGACGACAGAGTTGCACTTACATTCAATGGTTGGATCTACGGCCACAGCAGATGCTTGTGCACTAAATTGCTCGTCTCTAGCTAGCTCTGGTCTTGGTGTCTCCAACAACATGACAAGGGTACATAAACGTAAAACTCAGTGTGATCCAGAGTCTAAAACAAATGATGATTGCCAGCAGGATATAAATGACGATGATGCCCCTCCCGGCTTTTCATCCCCCATAAATAACCCCAAAGAACAGTTTACTTCCACACGGCCAGTCATGGGACATTGCCAACATAGATATAATCCAAACATTCTGCTCTCGTTTGGAATTCCTGTTAATGAGGTGCGGCAATTAGGGACACCTATAATTGAACCCTCGGAAGGCTGGGCCGTGGCTCCGGGCACGCCCTTCCATCCCTTCCCTCCATTGCCTACATACCCATATCGCAGTAAGGGCATTGTTCCTCCTCCCCCAAGTTCTGAGGTCCCACATCAACCTGCTCGAAGTCCGTGTGACCATCAGAATCTGCCCCAACCTTTCAAAAATTGTTTCCAAGATTATCCATGTCAAACCATGCAGAGTCCCACTGCAGGGGCAGCAAACCTGCCACCTGTGGCTGCAACTAGAGGGCACACTCGTCCATCGCCTGCCGGCTCTTTTCAGATGGGAAAGAGATACTTCAGGCAGCGAAAGTGGAGTGGCTCAAAATTTCAACCTCGGAGAAGGGGTAGAAACAGTTGGGGATATACAGGAAACAATGGGATGTGCAATGCACGTTTCAGAAGCACGCCAAATGAGTTTAGATTTCGTGGCCAAGTAGATGTTGGATTCAAGGAGGGTCCTTGGAATTTGTTACCCAAATATTAACTTCCTTTCCTATACGAAGAGAGCCTCAACGTAGTTTCTTGTGGTCTTTTTTTTTGCGGCACGGAATGAAATTTGATTAATTTATTGGTATCTTATTAGTTTCCAGGTATATGAGTAATAGGACAAACAATTAATCTTGTTATTCATTCATTGGAGTTTGAGATGGAAGTACGCCAAAAAATGAGTATGTGTGCTTCAGCAATTGATCTCAAAAGTATTTTGAGACTTGTTGGTTTATTGACTTTGATTAGGTCTCATCTAATGAAGATTCAATGTATTATTATTTTTTTTTGGAGCAGAATGAAAATTCAATAAATGCCGTGTTATTCATCCTAAAGATAATGTCCATTATTCACTCTAACCTTTTTATGATGATTGTAAAAAGTTTCTTTCACCAAACAAAATTTTGATAAAATAAGAAGGAAAATGCTAGGGGTACACCAAAAGTGTACCCCAAACATCCCCCACCCCCTCCATCACCACACAAAAAAGGCAAAAAAATTCAAAAAAAAATTAAAACTAAAAACAAAATAAAATGAATGATAAAGAAAGGGGTGGTGTACATTTGGGGTACACCTTTGGTGTACCCCTAGCATATCCCAAATAAGAATGGTGTTTGAGATGAAAAATGGGAATCGATATGATTCATAGGAGAACTAGGAAAGTAAAGTTGTGGTTTTTTCAACCAACTCATGTATGATTTCATCGGCAGCATGATGATGGGACAATCATTGGAGAGTCAAAAGAGGTAGTTAAAGTGTTGAACATCATTAGAGTGATCACTCCATGACTATGACTGGGGGCTCGAGTTGAACATCATTAGAGTGATCACTCCGTATCATCTATGGTTGTTCCCTGCAGACCTCGAGAGGTTGGCTTTGGAGGTGAATCTTCTTGGTGGGGTCATCGTAGAGATGCAAGGTTTATTAGTGGCTTGGCAAAGAAGAGAGCTGCCAATGGTATTGATTTGACACATCTTCCCGAATTTGGTAACTTGTAGGGTGAGTTACTTCTGCTTCGCTCTTGTAAGGGTACTACCAAATTTTCTTTGGCTTGAGGATGTGTCAACCTATACCCGTGATGGAAGTAGTGTTCGTCTTTGACAGAGGATTACGGCATTACGCGAGGCGATTGATCGAGGACATGGTGCATGGTTTGTGGAGGTCCTTTCTTTAGGGATCTTCAAGTGTGGGGGGTTCAGGACCACATCTTAGGAGACAGTGGTATATGTTGTATGGGTTCTGATTATAGTTGTACTTTGGCATGTCTTCGTAATACGATTTCAAGTTTTGACTTCAATGGTTTCATTGAAAAGGACATCGCCCTCTCCTAAAGCTCAACATACATTGGCGAGTGCGCTTTTTAAAAAAATTGTCGAGGATATAGAAGTACACCTTAACATGACTGTTAGGTAAAAAATTGTTTTAGAATATTTACGAGAACCACATGCCCAAGACTTTGTTTCGAATTGTTATTCCATTGATGGGCTTGGCCAACAAGTATTGACTGCGAATTTCCTTCCTTTTGGTTGATGAGATATGCCTTGTTTATTATAATGTTTATTTCTTAATGCATCATAGACAATGCAAAATGTTTTATCAAAATATAAAGAGTTATAAATTGAAAACTGTTTCTCTCTAATGTTGTGGCTGAGCTTGCAACTTTTTTGCTCATGCAACTTGAATCTCTCTGCACTTTTCCGTGTTTTATTGATTATTGATATCCAAGATCTCTCTTACCATAGATCTTCTCGCACTCCCTTCTACACCTTGATTTTCTCTATTATAATTTTTTTGTATAAATTTGTGTTGTTTCTTTATGTCTCTCAGAATGCCATTTTATGAAGTTTCAATGCATGACTGCGTAAATGAAAATGGAGGAACAGAGTTTCCTCTCATTCAAAATTTCTTATTTTCATGCAAAGATATTGTGAACTATTACACAATATAAGTTTATAAATATTTAGTTAGACCTTAGAAAATTGATAAATTATACTACAAATTTATTTTGATTAAAATAGTAAGTTAAATTACCAAACTAAACTATTAAACTATACAGTACCACATTTTCAAAATGTAAACTCTTATTTTGGGAATAAAAACATGGAGCTTTTATTTTGGTATTCTCTATATTTTATTTCTTTTAGGATGATTTCTTATAAATAAAATAAAATTACAATGAAGAAAATAATTTTCTTATTTCTTAGTTTTTATTTTTTCCATTTTTTGGGTTCTAATAAGAATTTTTTTCTTTTATATTTTTATTTTCATTTTTTAACAACAAGAGGAAACAACACATTAACACTTTGTGTAGAGTCTAAAACGTTAGAATCCATCGCTCCATTTATTTTTAGTTTTATTTCTTATCAGTTTGATACTAGTAGTTTTTATCGTTATCTTTTTATTTCATTAATTTTGTATGGTTTTAGTTGCTTTTCTCAGTAAGAACAAGTAAATAATCTCAATCTTCATTTTGTTGCACAGAATAAGCATTTAGCCGCTTAATGGTGATTTAAAACTCACAACTTTTAGTGAAGTTGAGATTATTATATATCATAGTAAAATATGAAATTATTTTTGAAATTACATGTAAAGTTAAAATTATTTTAGATAATTTTTCTTATTATCATGACAAACGCGATTCCTAACTTTTTTTTTTCTTTTTTATTGTGATCAAAGTTACGGAGCAGCACTCAAAAAAAAACTTAGGGAATACGGAGGGGGGTGTATTGAACATGGAGTTTAAAAGATTTTTTTGGATTATAAAATCCTAAATGAAAAGTTAAAAAGAAGATTTTCTAAAGAAATTTTTACGAAAAGGTTAAAAGGACAAAAAGGGCAAAGAAATGAGAAATCTCCCCACGAGTTTAAAGTTTAAACCCCATTATTGTCTTCTTCTTCTTCCTCTTCCTCTTGCCAAGTCGCCATTATAGGAGCTCTGAATGTGTAGAGTGGGAGAGATCATAAATGGAAAACTCGCTTGCACCCATACGCTTTATTCTCCTCCTCGGAGCAGCTGCCGCGGCGGCGGCGGATATTCTTCCCGGGTCAACCCTCTTTGCATCCGACCCGAATTCAACCTGGCCGTCTCCCAATAACACATTCACTCTCTCCTTCTTCCAGGACGATCCCGGGAACCCCAACTCCTTCTTCGCCGGAATCCGCTACGACGCCCGGATCCCCATCTGGAAGGCCGGCGGTGACTCCGGCTCCGTCTCGTCCTCTGCATCTCTCCGTTTCCTCCCCAACGGCGACCTCCAGCTCACGTCCGGCGGCGGAAGCTCCCCCACCGTCGTCGTCTGGAGCTCGAACACCGCCGGCCGCGGCGTCTCCTCCGCGCGCCTTGACGACTCAGGTAACCTCGTTCTCCGGAACGCCACCGCCCCCAACATCTGGTCCACTTTCGATAACCCCACCGACACCATAGTCCCCTCCCAGAATTTCACCCTGAACAATACTTTGAAATCTGGGAAATTCTCATTCAAGCTCAGACAGAACGGGAATTTGACCCTTCTGTGGAACAATTCAATCACTTATTATAATTCTGGGTTTAATTCTTCTGCCGATTTCGAATTAAATTCCCCCAGTTTGAGTATGAATCCGGTGGGTATTCTCTCCCTCTTCGACCCTTCCCTTCCCAACCCTTTGAAACTGGTTTACAGTAGCGATTACTCCGACGAGGGCGATATTCTGAGATTCGTGAAGCTCGATGACGACGGGAATCTCAGGATTTATAGCTATAATAAGAAAGGGAGTAGAAATCCCATTCTGCGGTGGTCTGCTCTGAGCGATCAATGTCGGGTGTTTGGGTACTGTGGGAATTTCGGGATCTGCAGCTACAATGATTCTGGCCCGATTTGCAGCTGCCCGTCGGAGAATTTCGCTCCAGTGGATCCTGAAGATCTCCGGCAAGGGTGTCGGAGGAAAGTGGAACTGGGGAGCTGTTCTTCCAATCAGAGCATCTTGCAGATGGATCACAGTGTGTTCTTGACCTATGATCCCGAGCTTTCTTCTCAACAGACCATCTCCGCTGGGATTTCAGCCTGTAGGCAAACCTGTCTCGTCAGTGCCGCTTGTATTGCTTCCACCGCGCTGGCTGACGGCACCGGGTTTTGCTACCAGAAGCTACCGAATTTCGTCAGCGGGTATCGGTCCCTCACCCTGCCGAGTACTTCTTTTGTCAAGGTCTGCGGGACCCCATTGCCTTACCCGTCCCATGACGACTCGGAGAAGAAGAAGAAAAGTGGGTCCGAGTTGCCGGGGTGGGTGGTTGGGGTCGCCGTGGCGGGCTCAATTCTGGGCTTGATTCTGTTCCAGGCTGGCCTTTGGTTGTGGTGTTTCAGAAACAGGCCCAGATTTAGCCCGCTGCCCGACCAACTTGCGCTCCTCGAGTATGCTTCCGGCACGCCCGTCCAGTTCTCATACCGGGATCTTCACCGAGCCACGGGAGGGTTCAAGGAGAAGCTAGGGGATGGGGGATTCGGCGCGGTTTATCGCGGCGTTCTTCGCGCTAACAATAGAACAATTGTTGCAGTGAAGCAGCTCGAAGGGATCGAGCAAGGCGAGAAGCAGTTCCGGATGGAGGTCGCGACGATCAGCAGCACCCACCATTTGAATCTGGTGAGACTCATCGGGTTTTGCTCCGAAGGACGCCGCCACAGGCTTCTAGTCTACGAGTTCATGAAGAACGGGTCCCTCGATCTCTTCCTCTTCTCCGGAAAGTTCTTGAAGTGGGAACAACGTTACGTCATCGCTCTGGGAACTGCCAGAGCGATGACGTACCTCCACGAGGAATGCCGCGATTGCATTGTCCATTGTGACATCAAGCCCGAGAACATTCTCTTGGACGACAATTACAATGCCAAGGTTTCGGACTTCGGGCTTGCCAAACTCGTGAACCCAAAAGATGACAGGCACAGAACCCTGACGAGCATAAGAGGGACGAGAGGGTATTTGGCTCCAGAATGCCTCGCGAATCTACCCATCACGTCCAAATCCGACGTGTACAGCTTCGGGATGGTGTTGCTAGAAATAGTGAGTGGGAAAAGGAATTTCCACGTCTCGACGGAGACGAACGGGAAAAAGTTTTCCACGTGGGCATACGAAGAATACGAGAAGGGTAACGCGAGCGCGATTCTGGATAAATCACTAGGTGCCCATGAGATTGATATGGACCAAGTGATGAGGGCCATTGAAGTGAGCTTTTGGTGCATCCAAGAGCAAATCTCTCAGAGGCCAAAGATGGGCAAGGTGGTTCAGATGTTAGAAGGTGTTTGTCACTTCGATAGGCCTCCGTCCCCGAGAGCCCCGACAGATCGGAATAGCATAAATATGGCTAGTAGCTCAACTTCGTCTTCTCGTTCCGGGCAGAATCTGGAGCGGGCTTCTTCGTCGCTCTTACACGCAGATTAAGTTCATCAATGGGAATGGTTTTGTTCTTGAGAAATGGTTTAGACAATTGTTGTATTTCTTCATGCAATTAGTATATATGTAGTAGTAATATAGAGTACAAGAGAGTATTTGTTTGGTATATAGGTCATCCCACTGTCATGTAGTAAAAGTTTAACAAGTCCCCATAAAAGTCAAACTTGGAAACCTAGTAGTTGTATGTTATTGTTGAAGGATATGATTAAGGAACAAAGTGTATATTATTCATAAATAAATACTCCGTACTAAGATGTAATATTTCCCTCTTAATTTTCCTCACCTCACTTTGATAAATCATCATACTTTCTTTTCTTTTTTTAAGTAACGGATTCTAAATGTCATAAATTTATGAGGGTGTATTCAATTGAGATTGTATTGGATTTTTTTAGATTTTAAAAAGTTAGTGAATTTGGAAAATCAATAGATTCCATGTAGAGTTTGTCCAACTTTTCTATTGATTTAAGATAGATTTCATAGACTCCATAGATTTCTATTGGAAATTTTGATCTCCATTCTGCACTCAATCATGGAGCATCCTACGATCAATCATGGAGCATCCATCAGCACAAAGAAGGGTGGGAAAGGTATCGAAGCCCTCGGAGAGGCAAAGGCTGAGAATTGCAGCCCACCAGAAACCAACGGTGATTGCCCTAATCTAGAGATTCTACGACCCGATTAAGGGTTCGGTGAAAATCGACGGCCGAGATGTAAAGTCCTACAACTTGCGATCTCTAAGGAAGCAGATACGGCGGAGATGTAAAGTCCTACCCTGGGACGCTGTTTGCCGGAACAGTGCGGGATATCATCATATACGGTGGAGGAGGAGCCGATGTCTGCGAGGCAGAAGTCGTGGAGCCACCCTTCCTATTGCAGTCTCACCAAAATCTGCCGTATCTGATGAGTTCTTCACAGGGTCATGGATGGAATCGACAGGAGCCATAAACCAGATCTACATTATTGCCTGGTTCAAAAGTCCATGGAAATCTGATCTCCTTATAAGGGATTTGAGATAAGCAATATTTTGGGAGAAAATCCAGCAAAATCTATGGAGTATTAAAATCCATTGACTATTGAATACTTAAAGATTTTTTAGGACTTTTTAAAATCTTTATTGAATACCTCGAAATTTTTAAAGATTTTTAGAAATCTAGATTGAATACCCTCATATTTTGAAAGTCCAAAAAAATCTTGTAGACTCTCAATTGAATACACCCCCCTTATTTTATCTACATAATTTTTAATTATAATAAACCAAGATAATTTATCTGTAAAAAAATTGACTAGATTTATATTTTAAGTTTTAGTATAAAATTATGTTCTACAAATTTTTCTTTACATTTTAGAATTCGTAAAACAAATACCAAACCACACACACACACACCACTCAAATAATTTTTAAAATCTAAAATTTACAATTTTCCTTTTTTGTGTAGTTCAAAAAAATAGAAAAATAAAAATTGTTTTTTTTTAAAACTAAAAACTAACAATTTGAATACAAAAAATACGCCAAAAAAATGATACTCAAGAGGGAAAAAATTATATTCTTACCATTGTAAAAAAACATGTTTCTATTTTTTTGTCATTTTTTTCTCCTTTTCTTCATCTATTTTTTTTCTTTCTTTTTTCTTCTTTTTCTTTCCTCTCCTTCTTTTCTTTCTTCCCTCCCTTTCCTTCTTTCTCCCTTTTATTTCTTCTTTTTCCTCGCCTTACTTTAATCACTCCTCTTCCGGTCTCATTTTCCCCATTTCACGTCACCAATGCTCAAATTTTCCTTCCCCACCAATAAAGTTGCTCTAACAACATGTGTGACTTGAGAAGTTGGTTCACATTAATGTTGTGTGGTACACATTTTAATTAGGGAAAGAGTTACATAAGGAGAACTTTGTAATGAATTGGGCTCTTTCTTCTAAAATTTCATGGGTCATATTTTTTTTAGTTGCAACTAATTGCAATAGCTTGGGTACATTTTTGAAATATGAAGTAATAATTTAAAATTTACAAGTAGCCATGACACTAACCCATGATACTACTTTCCCTCTACGTCCATAAAAGATTGTCACTCTGCATAAAATAAATCAAAAATTCAAATTTTTCAAATGAATTTTATTTAAAGATTGATATAAATTTTAAAAATATAGAAAACATTTGAAAATTTAAAAACTTCATCAAATATTCTACAAAATAAGAGATGACAAAAAAAAATTCGTTTATCAAATAATTAATACAAACAACAACGTAACATAATTCCATGAAAGTAAGGTTTGAAGAGGGTGAGTGTATGTAAACTTTACCCCTACTTAAAAGTAGAGAGGCGATTTCCAAAAGATCATCAACTCAAGCTAAATAAAAAACCACAACGCATGAAAGAAAGTGCAAGCTAAGAGTAGGGAAACCAAATTACGAGAAACAAAATGAGAAAAAATATCAAATAATCAATAAAAAGAAAAGAATTCTGTAATTTTAAAATAATAGTAACAATCTTTTAAAGCGGAAGGGAGCACAACTTTTAAACGCACACCTACGTTATTCATTGCCTATCAAAATACCATCAAATACCCACTTGATTTGTGGAGCTGGCGCGGATCAGTATATCTGTCCAAGGACTCAAAGGGTCACGTTTGAGCCAATCCATAGTGTTCTATACCTGTATCTTTTTTAAAAACATTAATCTTGACCCGTACCCGCTTATCTAATGAGTCTTGAAGTTTAATTCTAGATTTGAATCCATTGAGTCTCGGTATTGGGTTGGGTATACCCGTGATTAAAGTTGATGTTTTTTTTTCTATAATTGAAAAAAATTAGTGAAAAACACTAAGAATGAAAAACATTTTATTTGAATACAAAAAAATTAGACTAATACGCTACTACAAAAAAATCAATCTACTTTACCAAAAATCTACAACAAAATATTAGACTCATAATCAACCTTCTTGTCACATTCATTCATGTTGCAAGAATGTTCTTTATAACATTATAACTGATTCCAAACAATTTTTTATACCACTGAATAAATCAATGTATACATGTTTCTAATGTAGTGAAATAAATACAAATATATTTGAAAGTCACACAACCAGCGAAGAAAGGGAGTAGCAAAGAAGAGGGGATGGGTTTTGTAATTTTTAATATTATCTATTTATTTAAACGGTACGGGTTTTAGAATTTAAACGGTATGGGACTACTCGTCCTATAGCCAACCCTTTATTTTTTTAAATAATGGGTACAAATTTGGATATGAGTAAACGGTATTTTTATATTCCTAAACCCGTTAAAAAATTAAGGATATTATACAAGTTTGGGTCTATACCCCAAATTCAATTATTCTCAATTTATATTACATATTAGTATAATGAAATGAATTTTGAATATTCTCAAGAAATTAAATATAATGAAATTATTTTATATTAATATACATTGCAGGGAGTAAATTTTTTTCACCCCAAAGTCAATTAAATTTGGGGTGCAATTGACGGGGTGGGGTGGGTTTGGATCGAGACAATGTTGAGAATTCACCAAGGAATGTATGATGAGTAATAAATTATCAATTTTTTCCAAACGGAGCACCACGAGTGTCATAATATGACACCAAAAATGAGTGTCATATAAGTAGATAACCTTGCCCTTAAAAGTAAAGCAATAACAAAATTGCAGACACCAAGTATTCAGACTCTGAATCTACATTTTAATATCCATACTTAAAACTTTATAATTAAAATTAAAGCTTATAGAATACGCTCATAATGTGTGTAAGGCACCAAAATCATTCTAGCATAACCAATGCGCAGCTAAGTGGAGCAATGTGCAAGTAGCATCGACACATCAAGGTGATAGAAATTTGTGTTGAATTGATACTTCATAGAAACATACGCAACCCTGATAGTTCAAAATTACCTGTGGAAGCCTAGTCTTTGTAACAATCATACGCATGTTACTATGTACGGCAAGGATCTTTTGACCCTTGAACCTCGGGTCATACTGTAGCCAATCGGCGAACGGATCAATTTTACTGTAGGAACCATCAATTTTACGAACGGATCACCGTAGGGGCCCGAGTCATAATATGACCCGAGGTTCAAGTGTCAAAAGAACCATTTTGCACTACATATGCATGTTTGTGTTTGTGGTGTGTGTGTAAAATTATGTATTTCATGCAGAGGTATCTTGAGAAATTACTCAGGCAGGTCTATTAGAAGCTAAAGCCAATGGCTGTTTTTGTGCATTTCAATGGTGTGAGCAGCATCCCTGCCATCACAGTGAGCTCCTAACTAACTAAAAAACTGTTCAATATTTAATGGTGTTATCTTGAGCTCACGAGAACCCGATTGTGCATCCTCTGTTGTTATCTTTGTCTAAAAAACAAAGTATCTATTATTCTTGTTGAACCTTGACATTGTACTTATGGTGTATGATGAAACTTCTGGTTTTAATTACAAGTAAGCCTCCTCCAGTTCATTTAAGCACGTAGTTCATGTTCTTAGCTTGGTTATATGGCAGTTGTAGGAGTATGCAGTGAGGTCAGAGGAACAGAAATCGAGCTTAAAAACTGCCAAATGGTGGGGTTATCATGTTCTTAAACACGGGGGAGGGAATCACTTTACATACCCTCCCCTCCAACCAAACACACCTTACAAACACTTCAAAAACGTATAATTTAAGCTTGGGAAAAGAGGAACTCGGTAGGTTTCACCAAATTGTGCACAACTTTAGATAATATTATGACGTTCTCAAAACCTTAGCAGAAAAAAATAAGCATCACCAAAATAAAAAGGCAATAGCTCTTCTAGTGAGAGTATAGGACAATACATATGGAAAGCAAAATGGTGAAAGTACAAACCTACTTTTTTGTCTCAACTTTATTCTCAGCGGCAGGAACGGGTTGAATTCTCACATACGGATTTCTGGTTAATGTCTCTCCTTTTAAAGCAGCAACGTACCTGTCATTCGTGTTCTCTTTCCGTTGCAGCTCCCCGAGATACTCTGCCAGCCTCTCTTTATTAACTTTTCCCATCATCTAATTAGAAGACAAAAGAGTATAAATTTCTCACAGCAAAGCAATTGGTGAATGATAACAAATGTACCAAAACTAACATGCACAACCAAACAGATTAAAGAGAAAGACAAACTGAATCAGTTGGTTCAGAAAGTG